TAGTTTGTTTAGATACAACTTCACTCAATATTTTATCGAAATAAATTTGCTTCCTGCCAACATTTTCAAACTGTTTGGTCATGTCCTCCTGTGCATCTTTCAGCTTCTCTGTACTTGTCTGAAGATTATCAATGGATTGTTCCATCAGGTCACATCTGGTCAGAACAGGCTGCAGTAGTGGTCCGTCTGTTGACAACAATAAATAGAAATGCCAACTTTTGGGAGACCCTAGAGGTCAGAGAGAGACCATGAGTAATTCATGCACAGAAACTGACTGGCACTCATAGAAGTTGAGATAACTAAACATTTATAAACATGCATACATTAATATGAATGCAAATAACTTTCTAATAAGAATTTTTTCTTCCTCTACTTTTTTTTTTTTTTTTTATGTTTTCCTTTCAGTATTCTTTCTTCTTCATGTTCACTGGCTGTAAACTCCGGTGGAAAGTTCTGATTGTTCTGCCACTTCTGGACTCTAGTTATGTTCCACAAACTGAGTGTTGCAAGCACATCAATTTTACAGGTCTGACTTATTTCCATGCAAACTGTTGGTTCTTTGCCTCTTAGGCAGACGTACTTCAACTTCATAGGAAGCTCACAATTAGTTGACTCTTACGGCATGTTTTTGAGCAGGCAGTGGGTCTAGTCTTGTTTTTCACACAATGGGGTCCCAGAACCCATAAGGGGACCTTTCAGTATTATATACGGGCACATGGAGATAGCTCTGTTGTCTGTTGTGGGGGGGAGGGGGGGGCGCGGGTAGGCTAGCATTAATATCAAAAGCCTTGCTGACTAATGTGGGAAATCGTACGTCTCCACATCTTGTGATCATCAACAGCATGTATCAGTTCATATTCTGACACCTTACTATGCCATAACAAAAGGCTGTCAGGAATGTTCTCCATTTCTCCTCCTCTGTCTTCTCTTTCCACAAATCTTTTGTAACAGGAGATTCTCTTTTTCTCTTTCCACAAATCTTTTGTAACAGGAGATTCTCTTTTTCTCTTTCCACAAATCTTTTGTAACAGGAGATTCTCTTTTTCTCTTTTCACAAATCTTTTGTAACAGGAGATTCTATTTTTCTCTTTCCACAAATCTTTTGTAACAGGAGATTCTATTTTTCTCTTTCCACAAATCTTTTGTAACAGGGGATTCTATTTTTCTCTTTTCATAATGTGACTTGAAATACTGAGATGGGACTTGAAATACTGAGATGTGGCTTGAAATACTGAGATGTGGCTTGAAATACTGAGATAGGGCTTGAAATACTGAGATGGGGCTTGAAATACTGAGATGGGGCTTGAAATACTGAGATGGGACTTGAAATACTGAGATGTGGCTTGAAATACTGAGATGTGGCTTGAAATACTGAGATGACTGCATCTTTCTGATGTTTGTGATAGTTGCCGCTATGTCGTAACATATTTTCTTTTCCAATTTCATAAACACTGCCCAAGGAATTTTAAGCATTCTCCTGTAAACTCAAATTTCTGGGCCTCACAGGGTTTGTTCGGCCTATTAACTTATTGTCCAGGGTTCACAACCATTTGATAAAAGGCATTCTGTATTACTTGCAGGTAGCCACTATGGTGTAGTGGCTAGATGCATGCCTGTGAATCCAAAGGTCAAGGGCTTGATCTAAATGGAGCCAATAAGCTAATAAACAGTTTCAATTGTCACATTCTGTTCTTTATTTCTGTGGAACAACCAACTGATCTTGTCTACTGCACTTTTTATACAACAAAAATATCAATAAAGACAGAAAATATCAACTTCAGCTTCGGGTGCTTCTCTCCTTGTCTGGGACTGATAGTGAGAAATCTATGTGTTTTCAACATAAGGATGTTTATGCAGGGATAATTCTATGTAGATGTAACAGACTGGCATCGTGTGAATCTTTCTTTTTCTGCTCTGTAGCTCCCAGTGACACACAGGCCATCAACCAGTGGCCATAAATCATCCCTGCCTATACTACCCTGTACAGCTCACAGATGTTCCTGTGTGTTTTTTTTAACCCCATTCTCTAATTCTTCTTTCCATATATTTTTTGGTGTGGCATTATTCTTTTGACCTTTTCTTCTGTCATACCAGTTGTTTGTTATTGTTGTTTGTTATTATTGTCATTAGTATTTTACTTTATAAATCGAATAAATCAGGTGACAGTAAACATCTTTGTCTAACACCTTATTTAATGTTATGAAAAGTTGCCACTTGGTTATCAGCTGCTTTCTTGTTGCCAGTTTATGTTTTTAATTACTTTTAGATTATTACCATCAGTGGTGACCTCTGTGAGCAGGACCCTCACTGATGAGACCCCAGAGAGGAGACATGAGACAAGACAGTGAATAACAGAGTTGAGACATGTTGCATGGATCTATATCCAAGAGAGACACACTCAGCAGAAACATTAACAAGGTGTTAGAGTTGACTATTAAACAGTGCAGTACCAAACAGCACTAGAAGCCAGGTGGCAGTCATAATAAATGGAACCAGAGAACCAGTAACAAGAAGATACAGAAATGGTTTAAAGTATAAACATAGGAAGAATTCAGCAGCCATTCAGAAAACATATTTCACTGAAGCTGTGATCTACCACCCCCTGTCAGCATTACTTAGAGGTGACAATAAAGACAATAATTACAAAAGAGGAGTTATTTCAAGACATTTATTACAAGGTAACAGAGTGATGTCAGATGCACGCCACAAGCAAGACATCATGATCATCATTACCACTGTCAACACGATCATCCTCCTCATTATATTCTTCTAACCGACTACTCCGAGTAGCAAAACAAAAGATGAACCTGGGTGGGACACAAAAATATTTAAAGAAGACAGCTGTGCTACAGGTTGACAGTATAAGAGACAGAAGGCTGTGGATAGAAATTATGACCCAATTTATTTGTAATCTTCTTCAATATGTTGTCCTAGGTTTATTTCTGTTATAATCAGTTCTCCTATGTTTTATTTCTATTATTATTATTCTTCCTTCTTCTTTGTGTTCACCGGCTGTAAACTCTGATGGAAAGTTCTGGTTGTTTGTCCACTTCTGGACTTTAGTCTTGATCCCGAACCTGAGTGTTGCGTGCATGCCCATTTTAGAGATCTGACTTATTTGTATACAGACTGTTGATTCCTTGCCTCTCGGGCACATGCACTTTAACTTCGAAGGAAGCCCCCCCCCCCCATTAGTCTATCCTTACGATATGCTTGTTTGGGAGGCAGTGGGTCTATTCTTGGTTTTTCCACAATCGGACCCCGGAACCCACACAGAAATATTTATATTAGGTACACATCATGAAACTAACACCATCTTGTCAGGCCTGAGATTTCCACCGGCTCTCCTAAGTTCTAGGGATGTTATGTTTTGTCATTTTAAACGGTATAAGTATTTTATATTCCATGTTGTGAGCAGCCAGCACATTCTATTTTCCACATTGTGAGTTGCAGGCACTGTGTGTTAATTGCGTTGTGCGTCTACTCTTCATCGCTATCACTGCCGCCTTACTTGATGACTTGACCTTCACCATAAATTTTCTTCAACTGTCAGAACTGATGAGTGACAAGCAGAGTAGCCTTGCTTTTCTGCAGCAAGATGGCCAGCCGGCTGCCGAATCACCACTTCAGTGCACTCAGTCAGTTGCTGTAACAACATCTTCAGACCTACTAATGCTGTAAAACTGCAGGCTTGTCAACTTCTAGGTCACCAACCAGTATATTGTACATCCACACTGTCAGTCCTTTTTAGACCCTTCCTCCACAGGTGGCCTCTTTTCAGGGCCCCTTTTCAATGTAACAAATTCTCAGACCAGTGACAGCAGCAAGAGATCTAGTTGACAGAGAAAAGAAGCCTTGTTGAACACTCGCTCGGACAAGCATGGAAAAAGTCGCCCAATGTCGCCTGCCACAAAATAGAGCTGCACACTTTTGTGTCTGGCTTTGAACAAATGGGAGCCGCTTTTCCACAGTGTGTATAGACAGTAAAGGCAAAGCGATGTATATTCTAACATCCCTACAACATAGGACAGACCATGAGAATCGCCACAGCATGAATGGGAGTCAGCACAAAATCTGGCGAGATGGGGTGATTTTTATGATATGTACCTTCTATTATAATTTGCTGTCCTTTGTTAAATTGCTATTTTTATTTTGTTGTCCTTTGTTAAATCTCTATGACAATATGTTGTCCTATGTTAATTTCTATTATAATTTGTTGTCCCATATATCTATTATAAAGAAGGGCTGGCCAAGTAGTTAGATTGTTTGTTTGGCTTCATTCAGAAGACTTAGTTTCTCTGTAGGACATGAATGTCTTGAGCATGATGATTTTTCTTGTGTAGGTTCCAGGGCCCTTTTTTGGCGGAGAAAAGATGAAACCCACCACATCGTAACATACATGTCATAAAAACCGACAAATTATGAGTTTGCTGAATGTGTAAGTTTTGGCCTGAAAGGCGCAGATGTCACACCCTAGTTGTAAACCACAACACACATGTCAATCATCCATTTGAGAGCGAACTCAGAAAGAGAAGAGTCTGAGGATGTAGAGCTGCATGGCAAGTACAACTGCAACAAAGTGTGCGGGTCAGGGTTTGTATTTCTGCTCCTGACAGAAACAACTTCCACACCTTTGTATGAGATCCTAGCCTGGACTTCCTGCATGAGATCCTAGCCTGGACTTCCTGTATGAGATCCTAGCCTGGACTTCCTGTATGAGATCCTAGCCTGGACTTCCTGTATGAGATCCTAGCCTGGACTTCCTGCATGAGATCCTAGCCTGGACTTCCTGTATGAGATCCTAGCCTGGACTTCCTGCATGAGATCCTAGCCTGAACTTCCTGTATGAGATCCTAGCCTGGACTTCCTGTATGAGATCCTAGCCTGGACCTCCAGCCCAGTATTCTAAACTCTCAACCAGCTGCTATTATAAATACAAAAGACTGTTGCATACCGATGGGTTAACAACACCACAAGAGTTCTGATGTAAAGACAGGTACCTGCTGAATGACAATTGGCCAGTCCTGTAGAATGACTTCCTTTATTAGGCAAAAAATGAGAGGATATTGTCTGTTGTGTTGAATCTTGTGTTTCTTGTGGCACAGAGGGTTCCAGAAACATCACTCCATCAGAGACATCTATCCAAACAAAAATAAAAGATACTGGAAATCTCTATTACAAATATCATTCAATTTTATAAATTTTAATTTTCTGTAATCCTTTGTTGGTGAATTTAGTAACTTGTCTGGCAACATACATGAATGCATTAATCCCTTGTATTATGTTATTATTTCTCTTGCTTTTTATATTTGGTTAGAGCAGGTGTATGGAACCTTTTCTTTCTTTCTGCGGGGCCGTTTGGATGTTTATAACATCAGTTACAGCTGCACATAATTTTCAGCTTAAAAATTAACTTGCTACATTTGGTCAAACATTTAAACATGGCTGCCTATATAAGGCCATACCAAATAATTTCACCAGCCTTATACGAGCCAGACGTTTCTGACCGGAGTTAGACAATGCTCCTGATATACTCAACTCTTCATGAAATGTAAACAATAAATGTAGTTTATAGGCCTCCCCCCCCACACCCACACACCACATTACTTGTATATTACTGGAGCCCTCAGGGGAAGCAAAGAGCAATAACCCCACAACCCAGCTGTCATGTTGTAACAGGTTATTAGGGTCTTGGTTACCTACCTCATCCTACAGAAAGCTGCAGCCCCAGAAGTAACAAGCTAGGATTAAGTTGTGCTCTACTTGCTTCCATGTGGAGTTCTTCTTATTATTAAAAGAGAAGCAAAAATTACTAAGTCCAAATTACTGCTGGCCCAAATTACGTGGATTCAAATCTGCAATGAGCCACATTATTCCCAAAAATGATTTTGGCTCCCCAGGTCGACCTAGCCTAAGATGGGTACCAGGTAAATTCTTGAGAAGAAAAGGCAGCCATCATGATGTTAATCACATCAACCACAGATTGATGATTAGTCTATAAAATACAGGCCTAGCACTAGATACCCAATACGCCTAAGAACATGGACATACTAACTGAAAGAAGAAGATATTTCTCCTAGAAGAACTATGAAACGAAAAACTGGAATACTGACCTTTCTCTGTTAACACATGGAAAGTCTGTCAGGGTGGAAGGGCCAGGGGGATGGGCAGTGGGGACAGTGATATTCTGCAGCACAGGCACATGATGGTGATGATGTGTTTACTAAGTACAGACTCAATGAATGAACTGACATAACTGCACTCTAGACATTAAAACACATGCTCTTTTCTTTGTCACGAACCAATGAACAGTTCCCATACAGATAGTGTCCCCTGACAATTAAAAGTTTACTAAGTTCAGAGGGAAACGAAGCAATTAGTACCTTTTATCTCAATGTATTTCAGATCAAGAAAGTCAGAGGCAGTGTCTATCACTTGTAAAACTTGTGAAAAGGTGGACCAGTTTTGACTTGTGTCATCTGCCCATGCTCTTCCTCCAGCAATCACCTGCTCAAAACCATCACAAACAAAACACAGCCAAATGTTCATGTAACACTGTATCTGTTTACTACAGAAAGCAAACCTTTCACTGCAGCTTGTTTTCTTATACTTCTTCTTATGCACATGCTCTAGGTGTAGACTCTGGCGCAGTGTTATAGTTGTTCATCTACCCCAGACTATAGTCTAGTTCCAGAACTTGAGTTTTGAGTGTACATCCGCTTTAGATATCTGGTTCATTTGTACGCAGACTGTTCATTCTCATGGAGATGCACTCCGACTTCACAGGAAGCACCTCTAATTAGTTAACTTTACGATGTGCTTGTTACAGCTACTTTTTTGGATGTTACCGTTGAGTATTAAAGTTATATTTACTTCTTTAAACATTAAGGTCTTATTACTTTAAATGTTACTGTTCTAGTTGTAACAATAATTCTGTCAGTCCAAGACAGATTTTGTTTAAATCTCCCATGCCACAAGCCAGCCAACTTTTGTCTTTTTTTTATCTGTGTTTTGATCTTTCATCTCCTAAAACATAATTATTTCTTGTCTCGACAAACAAAATCTGTTCAGATATTTGTGACACGACAACCAGCAGACTTAATAGAACATCAGTAAACTGATTATTCACATATTTCAATAACTAGATGAAGTGACAGTGGTTGAATGCATGGCCTCTGATACGGTTCAGTGTCTTTGTGACCAAACTAAGCACATGATCCAATTTTAAAGCCTTTGCTGATAAATAATGCAGTGAAAATATGCAAATGGTGAATCTGGATGAGAGTTTCCTATTGTTATTCATAACATGGCAACAACACCATAATTTCTGCCAACTATTTTGCAGCACCATCAGTATATAAGCATGCACGTTTACTCAGATCCAGACCAGTCATTCAGAACCTGCTTGACTTTCTCGACAATGTCCTGGCTTGCTGTGGTGTCATGAATGTGGTTCAGTTTAATCAGTTTTGCATAAATATAAACTTCCCTGTCACAAGCCCTGAGGAAAATTACAAATAGTGCTTGCTATTCTAGTGATGTCAACGGTTTCATCAATAGCAACTGAAAAATGTTCAAATCTTGATGTGTCCTTCAACTGTTGTTTAAACTCACTTGACATTTCAACAATTCGTTCAGTGTTCCTTGTTAATAATATATCATTGAATAAATGTGTTTTCACTGGACACACAGTTGAGCCCTTTTTACAGGGCACTGCTTTATTAAATTTTCTTCACTGTCAGATTTTGTATTCACAGTGATAATTTGGCTATGTTTACGGATCACCGTAATGAAAGCAACATTCTCTTTCTCAGTTTTCGTAAAAAAGGTATTTTGCTATTTCAAATTAGCCTTCCTAAGTCTGGAGACACGCATTGGGCCTTTATTGTAAGATCAATGGTCTGTTTCATACTATCTTTTTCAATTGTACGCTTTTGGCAGGGCAATGCTGTTGCTACAAATTAAACAACGTATCTCTCCATTTACTGTTGTGCACAAATACTGCAATTCCATTTTTCTAAATCACTCACTCTTCTTTGTTAACTTTCCCTTTCCTCTGAGCCGGAGGAGCACTTCTTCTTCTTCTTCTTCTCTTCCACCTGTGTACCTTAGCGAAGTGTCAGGGGAAGATGTAATGTTCTTTGATAAACTCTGTTAAGAGCACTGTTAAGATTGATGTTCATTTCTGTAGGGCTGTTTTTAATGCCATAACTCCATCTTTGCTGAGGTCTTCCGCTCGCTGTATACCCGTTGTAACGTTTCAGTGTGGCTCGCTGTGGTAGATAGTACCAGTGCACTCTTGTTAGGAACACTTAATTTGTTGTTCTTTGATGACGTGTAAGACTGACTTTATTCCTAGCATTCATCTGATTTAGTGCTTTTGTATTTTGTTCTAAGGCATTTCATCTCTGTTGTCACAATGTTATATCCATTAGATGATGTAAGTGTCCACATTTGGCACTAATAGCATAGTGTTGGCCAAAAAATACTTCTGATAAGATTCACTTTAGGAGCACTAGCAACTTTTATATTTATGTGGAAACAAAAACACAAAAAAACTGTTTTCTCTAAATCACAGATTAAAAAAAACAGAAGTGAAACTTTAACCAGCTTATGCATCTTTTGTGCGGGCATCAGGTTTGCATGGGGGGTCTGCATGCTGCCCACGGGCCACATGTTGGACATGCCCGCCCTAGAGAGTTAAACATGGTATTTTTTATCAAAAGAATATTATTAATAATAAGAAAAATATAAAACAATATTCAAATCTGCACCTTGTTAATGTATTCACCAAGTGATTCAAGTACAAGATCCCTCTGTTGTTCCAAACGGTCTAATTTCAGGTCAACGATCTTTCTGTTCATCTTAGTCACCATGCCCTCTGTATGAGAGTCTTTTCTTTTTATTGCTGTCTCTGTTATGCCTTTCAATTTGGGATTCAGGAGAGTTCTCTGAAAAACGAAGTATACATACAACTTTAAAACAAATTAAAAACATAATGAAAGAAGGATGTTTCAAAAATTAAAAACATTCAGGTTAACAGAAATGTGTGAAACCTAATAAATATTGATGTGCCAATGATGCCAAATCCTGTTTATAAGCATACACACATGTCAGGGTGGAGAGTTCGGTCATATATGCCAGTACACCAATCTAGCTTACCAGAATAATTAAAATAAGGTGCTAAAGTTGGAGGCAACAAGCCAGCAGGTGCACCACAAAAATCAGGATGCCACAAACAAACACTTTAGTATATCTGTGTCTGCAAACTTTGAAGAACAAGAAGATAAGTGATCACTGACTCTGTCTGTGCTGGGCAGTTGTTATTTTATAATAATGAATACTTCCCAAAGTCCACTCATGTAGTGCTGGTCATCTTGTCTGTCCATAGCCTTCTGTTTTATGAACTTCCAATCATTTTTTTTTTCTTTAATCCAGATGTACCTCCACAGTGTGATGCCAAACTGTCTAACAACCTCTCTCCTAATCTCCACCTACATCTTTTCCCCTCCAATTTTCCTGTTGTTGTGACACACTGCAATTATCTCTTCTTACAACAACCTGGATGGCTAATATTGGAGCAAAGGAAATAAGTGGTGTGTTTCAGAAACAAGAAAGAATAAAGAAACAGTTAGGGGAAAAAGGCAGAAACATCTGTGTGGATTGAAGCAATGATTACTGTGTGTTATAGAGAAAACATCTGTGTGAGTTGAAGCAATGATTACTGTGTAGTATGGAAGAAACAACTGTGAGGGTTGAAGCAATGATTACTCTGTGGTATAGAAGTAACATCTATGAGCGTTGAAGCAGTGATTGCTGTGTAGTATGGAAGAAACATATGTGAGAGTTGAAGCAATGATTACTCTGTGGTATAGAAGTAACATCTATGAGCATTGAAGCAATGATTACTGTGTAGTATGGAAGAAACATATGTGAGAGTTAAAGCAATGATTACAATGTGATATGGAAGAAACATATGTGTGGGTTGAAGCAGTGATTACAGTGTGGTAGGGAAGAAATAACTGTGAGGGTTGAAGCAATGATTACTGTGTGGTATTGAAGAAACATCTGTGTGAGTTGAAGCAATGATTACTGTGTGGTATGGAAGAAACATCTGTGTGAGTTGAAGCAATGATTACTGTGTGGCATGGAAGAAACATCTGTGTGAGTTGAAGCAATGATTACTGTGTGGTATGGAAGAAACATCTGTGTGAGTTGAAGCAATGATTACTGTGTGGTATGGAAGAAATATCAATGTGAGTTGAAGCAATGATTACTGTGTGGTATGGAAGAAACATCTGTGTGAGTTGAAGCAATGATTACTGTGTGGTATGGAAGAAACATCTGTGTGAGTTGAAGCAATGATTACTGTGTGGTATGGAAGAAACATCTGTGTGCGTTGAAGCAATGATTACTGTGTGGTATGGAAGAAATATCAGTGTGAGTTGAAGCAATGATTACTGTGTGGTATGGAAGAAACATCTGTGTGAGTTGAAGCAATGATTACTGTGTGGTATGGAAGAAACATCTGTGTGAGTTGAAGCAATGATTACTGTGTTGTATGGAAGAAACATCTGTGTGAGTTGAAGCAATGATTACTGTGTGGTATGGAAGAAACATCTGTGTGAGTTGAAGCAATGATTACTGTGTGGTATGGAAGAAACATCTGTGTGAGTTGAAGCAATGATTACTGTGTGGTATAGAAGAAACATCTGTGTGAGTTGAAGCAATGATTACTGTGTGGTATGGAAGAAACATCTGTGTGAGTTGAAGCAATGATTACTGTGTGGCATGGAAGAAACTTATGTGTGAGTTGAAGCAATGATTACTGTGTGGTATGGAAGAAACATCTGTGTGAGTTGAAGCAATGATTACTGTGTGGTATGGAAGAAACATCTGTGTGAGTTGAAGCAATGATTACTGTGTGGTATGGAAGAAACATCTGTGTGAGTTGAAGCAATGATTACTGTGTGGCATGGAAGAAACATCTGTGTGAGTTGAAGCAATGATTACTGTGTGGCATGGATGAAACATCTGTGTGAGTTGAAGCAATGATTACTGTGTGGCATGAAAGAAACATCTGAGTGAGTTGAAGCAATGATTACTGTGTGGCATGGAAGAAACATCTGTGTGAGTTGAAGCAATGATTACTGTGTGGCATGGATGAAACATCTGTGTGAGTTGAAGCAATGATTACTGTGTGGCATGGAAGAAACACCTGAGTGAGTTGAAGCAATGATTACTGTGTGGCAGGGAAGAAACATCTGAGTGGTTTGCAGTGACAACTGTGTGGTATATGAATGGAGTACAGAGATAAAGAAGCAACTAGAAGAGAAACAAAAACTCAAAAAATGAGAAGTTGTTTGTTACTCACACTATGAGTAACCAGGCAACGTATTATGAGTTGCTGGGTACAAAGTATGATGAGCTTCCTCTTTAGTTCTCATTCAGAAAAACAATGCCAAAGTTGTTTAAATACTCCTTTTAGTGGGTGTCCCCAGAGTCACTGTAGATTAACTGGCAGCCTGCCTGCTTGCCTTCCCTATGGTCATGTTGAAATTCCTGTATTTACAGTAAAACCTTGTTAACACAATTTTCAAGGGATTGAAAAATCAAGTTTTACTGGGATCAAAATTCTGTTTACGTAAACCGAGTATTTGTCTTAACTCTTTATGGATGTATCGCCGATCAGTCAGTTGGAGAATCTGTCACAGTTAAACATATCGCTAATAATAATAATAATAATCAGTGTTACTGATCAAATAAAGCAAAACAAAAAGTAAGGTAAATACAAAATCCTTGAAATTAGTGTTATTTTAATATTGTACTGTACTCATCCTGATATAGTTTATATGTATTCTGCAGTAATGTCTCTTCAATTTGATATATTATGTCACTACACAGCTCTGTCACATTGCAGTAAAAAAAGAATTCAGCTCTAATTTAATTTTGTCCAAACCCCAGAACAGCCTCATGAAAGAGTTCAGCGAGTGCATGTAATGAGATTTTACTGTACTTGATAAATGGTATACTTAATTCTATAATATACCAACTGGCACCCAACAGATAATGTGATCAACATCATTCTTGCAATTTTTAACGACTCATATTTCCTGATGCTGATTTTAGGCTGGGTCTACTTAGGAGCCCTAGTTCACATATGCCTTACGCGGATTTGAGCTAATTGTCTTCGTGTCAGCAGGAAAGAATAACATGAATTTTGTTGTTTTTTCATGAGGTTTGAGCAATGGATCAACAGAATGGCACACGGGTAGTAACTCATAAGTGCTCAAATCTACTTCTAACTCAAGTCTGAGTTGGAAGTAGCTCAGCGCAGAGCACAGGTTCCGTAGCGAGGATCCTGAAATATTTTGGGTAGATTTTTAACTTTCAAATTGTGCCCGGGCAGCGCCGTTAGGCTACTCTTTTCGAATTCCAACTGCCAAGGGATTTTTTACGTGCGCAACAATACACACGGGTGTCTATTTTTACTACCCAGATATATTTTTATTCTTTATACCTTTAATAACTACTTTCCACATTCACTGTTATGATATCTCACACAGAATGTATCACTGTTTTTATATACCATTATACAACTGGATACACTATACCAGAGGTTCTCAAACTGGGTGCCGTGGCACCCTGGGATGCCTTGAGCATATGTTACAGGTACCGTGGCAAAAATCAAGAATAGTCGGCTAAATATTGTGACATTATTAAAGAAGGCATGAAGATACTCGAAAGTTACAATTTAAGTTGTCTCTCCCCGCCAGTCGAAAAATGTTTTTTCCTTGTTTCACACTCAACGTGTATCATACTGCATAAAATGCCAACCGCAGCGTACTATGAACTGTCCTTGTATTTAACTCGATGTGCAACCGATCCTCCACCTCTATTCGTAAAGGTGCAGTAGATAAATAAACTTTTGATTACATTTTGGCTGAAAAGTTAAGGTGAAGAATGTGGTCTGTACAATAGTAACTGATAGCCTGATCAAGTAAGTACTTATATTTAGAGGCAAGGTACTTTTTTTTTAATGCTTGTGTGTATGTGTGTGTGTGTGTGTATGTGTGTGAGTGTGTGATCATGCATTTTTTCGTTCTTTAAGGGTTACTTTGCCCAAATCAAATTTGAAGATATTGCAAACGAGAATATGAACGTGCATTTAAATTACATGAAACGAACGGCTGAGCGAACAATGATTGGAATGCGAATATGGTTGCATTGGTTCATGTCTGGCTTTGTTTCTGTAGGGAAGGGTTCAGGCACCGGGAGGGTTCAGTCCAAATTAAAGAGTCACGTGGAATACGGTGATTCTCATTTAGTATGTGAATGTCAAGAAATGTTCAAAAGCTGCGCTATATCTCTTTGAGGGAAAGTCATTTATGAGGGAGAGTCGTTCTAAAAAAAAATGAAAAGAATGTAATGACAAATTCATCCAAACAGTTACATCAACTGCATTAAAGACAATTGAACATTACATCTCCACCGTGTTTTTCCTTCTTTCCCTATTTGTTCAACCACTTTGATTGTAGGTGTGTCACACATTTTTTTTAAGCCCCTCAAGGATGCCGCAGCAAAAAAGTTTGAGAACCCCTGCACTATACCATTGTACATACTAAAACGCAAACTAGTCAGTGGTCAGTAAAATGTCATTTTGCCGAACCTTGCTCCAATAACAAGCTTCCAGAAAACTTCTCGATTACAAGCAAGATGTCCAATACACCCATATGGAGATCATCCGCCACATTCTGCACCCATCTTTCTTTGGCCTTCCTCTTCCTCTCTTCCCAGGCATATTGATGCAAACCTACTGATGTGAAATTTGCTTTAAAAACCGCAACAGCGAAAAAATTGTGGGGATGGTTCTGCA